CCCGCCGCGTCGCCGCCGCCGCCGCCAAAGGCCACTTCTCCACCTCCAAGCCCGCCGGATCGCTCGACCGCGCCGCCCGTGCCGCGGTCACCACCGCCGCGGCACCCGGGGTCGCCGCCTCCTCCAACTGAGCCGCAGGCGCCGCCGCCCTCTGTCAGTCCCATCATCAAACCTCCCACCAACCCCTCCCCAACCTCTCCCACCGTCCCTGCTACTCCCACCGCCCCCTCGCCGCCGTCGACGCCAGGTTTTGGTCCTCCATCTCTGCCTACCAGCCCAACAACAACCCCACCAACACCAATTGGTCCCAACATGCCACAGGACCCCTCATTGCAGGACAGCAGCCGCTCGCCGAGCAGCCATGGTTTGTCTAATGGCACAAAGGCGGGGATCGGCATCATCGTGGCGATTCTCGTGCTTAGTTTGATCGCCGCCGGGTGCTGGTACAAGAAGAAACAGAGGAGAATGACCGGTTACCATGCCGGGTTTGTGATGCCTTCACCCTCACCATCTGCTTCTCCACAAGTGCTACTAGGTAAGTGCATTCCTGTGCAATGAGCTCTGTAAGTGCATTATTCCTGTGCTGTGAGCTGATAACTGAAACTCGTTTTTTGTTCAGGGCATTCAGACAAAACTAAAGCCAACTACAGCGCCGGGAGCCCCGAGTTCAAAGACACAATGTCAGAGTACAGCATGGGCAACTGTCGCTTCTTCACCTACGAGGAAATGCACAACATCACAAACGGTTTCTCCGATCAAAACCTGCTGGGGGAAGGCGGCTTTGGGTCTGTTTACAAGGGTTGCTTGCCCGAAGGGAGAGAGGTTGCCATTAAGAAACTGAAAGATGGCAGTGGGCAGGGGGAGCGCGAGTTCCAGGCCGAGGTGGAGATCATCAGCCGCGTGCATCACCGCCACCTGGTTTCTCTCGTTGGGTATTGCATCTCGGGCGACCAGCGCTTGCTTGTCTACGATTTTGTGCCCAATGACACGCTGCACTATCATCTACATGGTATGTTTCGTATGGTGTTAGTTAACCTTTCATTTTGATGCTGCGCGACATCTTTTGATGTCCCGAGTTCCGACTGAACAGTCGTTGTATTTTGATTCTGCCGTGTCATATATAGGACGTGGAGTGCCGGTTCTGGAATGGCCAGCCAGGGTTAAAATCTCTGCTGGATCGGCTAAAGGAATAGCATATCTTCATGAAGATTGTAATGCCCATTCTCATTCATTTGCTTTCCATGCCCTGCTTTCTTCTCATCACACCTGAATTTTCTTCCCTTTGGCAGGTCATCCCCGAATTATCCACCGAGATATAAAATCCTCTAATATTCTGCTGGATAACAACTTCGAGGCACAGGTAACAATGCCATCTACATAACTCGGGAAACCCACTGTAATATGATTGTTGATACTGAATTGGATACTGTGCATGTACCAGGTTGCTGATTTTGGTCTTGCAAGACTAGCCATGGATTTTGCTACGCATGTAACTACACGGGTGATGGGAACTTTTGGGTAAGTATAAGAAGCTGACTGGTACACGACAATAGTTCACATTTGCTCATCTTCTGATGATATTATTTTTATTAATTTAGGTACATGGCTCCAGAGTATGCATCCAGTGGCAAATTGACAGAGAAATCTGATGTCTTCTCTTTTGGCGTTGTCCTCTTAGAGCTCATTACTGGTAGAAAGCCCGTCGACGCATCAAATCCATTGGGTGATGAGAGCCTTGTCGAGTGGGTAAGCTTTATTACTAAATGAGGATTTCAGCTCTGTTGAAACAATGGGAAAGTAGCCACATGATAGCCCTGATTCATTCACTAGTAACTGAATCTTAATATGAAAATCTACTACATTACCAATATTCATAGACAATGTGATGATGATCAAATCTTTCAGTTCCAGTTATTTGTCATGATTATTCGTAAAGGTTATAATATGTGTACCATGTGAAGTCGTGAACCAGCCAACTGAAAACAGCTTCCGACACAATCCTGTTGTAACTCTGGTTTATAAGATTGATCCTCTGTGGTCAGCAACATTTCCTGACCCCCACAGTTATCTGCAGGCTAGGCCACTGCTGACCCAAGCGCTCGAGACTGGCAATGCAGGGGAGCTGCTGGACCCCAGGCTGGACAAGAACTTCAACGAGGTCGAACTGTTCCATATGATCGAAGCGGCAGCAGCCTGCATCCGATACTCGGCAGCCCGGAGGCCCCGGATGAGCCAGGTACGAGGATATCGATGAGATTACATGCACCACATCATCTTTTCAGAACAGCAACTACACCACATCCCATTGGATTGGACCAGAGGTTAAAACATTTTTATCACCGGCACATCTGCTCTGTCTCAGGTGGTGCGTGCTCTCGATAGCCTAACCGACGTCGACCTGACCAACGGGGTGCAGCCGGGGATGAGCGAGATGTTCAACGCCCCCAACACCGCGGAGATCAGGCTGTTCCAGCGGATGGCGTTCGGGAGCCAGGACTTCACGACCGACTTCACTCAGTCCAGCAGCTGGAACAGCAGCCGTCAGGGCGGAGACGCCGATGCCTCTGGTGGGCCGATGCACTCGCAATTGCAACCATAGTAGTGTAACTAGCTAGGGTGGGGGTATTACTGCTCCTTGGTTCATTTCATGCAATTCTTTGGGTGGATCGTCCGTCTTCGGGTTTTTTTTTCTTGGGGTCGTCGTCTCGGCTGACTGACAGATGGATGCATATAGCGTGCTGGGAGCCGTCTATGAATAGGATGGGCCGCAAGTCACTGACTCTTGGAGGGGAATTGTGCGCCTGGTTGATTGGTTCTGTGTGGACTCTTGGGAATCATGGGCGTGGTAAGAAAAGAAATGCTTGGTTGTTATGTGGGCTAGATTCTTGGTGTAGGTGGAGCTGAGAGGGACATGGAATTATGCAGAGGCTTGTGCGCATGAGCGGTGAGGTGGGATGGAGGCTGTGCGTTGCGTTGCACATGAGAGAACGTGGATGGGTGAAGGGAAGGGAATAATATATCTGTCATGTCCACTTTAATTTGGCTCTTTCCCTTTTCTCTAATCCTCGTGAGAAGATGCAAAAAGCTTTGCACATCCTTTTTGTAATTTTTCTCTCTTGTTTTCTTTTGTTTTTTGGGTGAGGTGTTTTTCAGTTGCTCGTGTTTTAACCCACATGGACCATGATCTGAAACTAGTAAGATCCTCTGGCTGCGGAGTCACGACACGGTAGAACCGCAGACACCACACATATTTTTGTTGGACGTAGACGACTCGTGTCTAAAAAACAATGACATGGAGATTGCCAGGTTAGCGGTAAAATGCAAAACTGTTACTGAAGATAGTGGTGGGGTGGGCGAGAAAAAAGAATACACGATGAGATGAGTTGAGATGGAATCAAGGATGTCATGAAGAATTTAAGCAAGGGAGGTCATGAAGAATCAAGGATGGAATGGGTTGAGCAGCCAAATTTGACCTCCCCCTATCCCATGATTAGATGAGTTTGATCAACACACACCCACACGAATACACGATGACAGACACCAACTGTGGTGCATTATGTGTGACGGTGGCCCATGCGCATCACCACTGCTCCCACCACCTACTACTGGGGTGCGGATTCTCTACCTTGCCATGGGCAAGGCAGGAGCTACAATGTTCCACCTTTGTCCGAGAGACATTGGATCAAAAATGAGCGGTCTAGATCGGGACAAAGACTGTTGGTTCAGATTTGGACGGTCCGTTCTTGGTCCAAGAGACGAAAGAAGTGAAACAAGGTAGAGAATCCACAACAATCCACAACCCTACTACTGGTACTACTAGTACTACTACTACTGCTAATCAGACGAGCTAGCAACGTGGGGAAAGGGACGGAGACACGAGCCATTGTGTACCTCTCAAAACAAGAACAATAATTTCGCTTAAGGGAAACCGGAAATGGGAAGCCCTTCTTTTCTGTTCTTCAAGAAAAAAAAAACTCAAAAGAAGAAGAAGAAGCCAAGAACACCGACAAAGGCAAGAAGAATCGCTCGGCGGTGGGTGGCCATGACCCGAAAAACCGCAAGGCATGTGTATATTTGTATAAAGCTTAGGTTCTTACTACTCCCTTTGTACCACAATACTTGTTGTTGGGAGAACTTGTACTAGCTTTCTCTAACTACAAGTATTTCGCGGTACAGAGGGAGTATATGTTTTTGCTAATGGCGTACAGACTCCGCTATGCTCAGCTACAAATCCTATCATGTCCGCAGGAAAAAAAAGGAGATGAGAAATACCCTACCAAAACCTGATTATTTGCTATGCCCACATGATTGCAACTCACAGTCACACAATTATTTGCTCCACAACATTTAGTTGCTGAAAGGATGCGCGAGCAGCACACGGTCACCTTATTATCTTCACATTTTCCATCCATCGATGCATCATGTTCCGACTTAATACACCATGGATCACTCATGGTTTGGTAACTTCGCATCACAGCGAGGAACGCAGGCGCGACGAAGATTGCCTGCATCATCATCAAGTCAGAATCGCTAAGGCGGCGGTGGCCCAGAAAAAGCTCTATTCCACTTGTTAATCGTGTTATTTTGTACTGCACCCTTGATTATTATTACTATTCCACTTCGGCCAGATCGTCAGCGTGGTAAAGACCACAAGACTTCTTTATGGAAGGAAATCTGAGGAGCACATGAGAAACTTACATGGACTCTACGACGATGGCTGAAGCACCACCTCCGCCGTTGCAAACTCCGGCAACCCCAAACTTGCCCTGTTTCTGTCTAAGAATCTGCGGTGGAGCAAAAAAAAAAGTTCAACAGTATGAAATTGGATGCAACTATACCAAAGGACAGGACAGCAGCAAGATCAAGATATCCAACTTAAATAAAAACTATTGTTTTAGCTTAAGAGGAGAGAGATTCCAGAGCTACTCTACCAAGGCAAAGGAACGGTCAATATCCTTGCAGATTATAAACAATTTTGATGAAATATAACAGGAGGACGAACCAACACTACGACAGCAGAAGGCCATGAATCTATCACAGTCTCCCATTTTGTATGGGATGGAAACATACATACCCCGAGCAAGGTGACTATGATTCGGGCACCACTGCAACCGATAGGATGGCCCAGGGAAACAGCGCCACCACTTATATTCAGTTTTCCCTGAAATAGTTAAATGCCCATTAATATTTATAAAACTGTTTCCAATTACATATTTTCTGAAAAAGATAGTTTACTGAAGTTTTTTAGCAGCTTACAGGAGAGATGCCAAGAAGTCTCTGATTTGCCACTGCAACAACCTGCCAATGTCCAGAAGAATATAGCTAAGTCTCACCTTCATGCTTCAGGTCTGATTATACTCTTAAAAAGTATGAAAAGACCATTCACATACCGAGAAAGCCTCATTTATCTCATAATAATCTATTTGTGAATCTCGGAGACCTGAATTTGATATAGCCTTTGGGATAGCAAGAGCTGGAGTTGTTGTAAATAGCTCAGGTGCCTGAATCGTAAGGAGTGTCAATACAACAAACTCTTTGTAATAATGCATAATAACAAGATAAAAGAAAAATAATGAACACGAATCATACGGGAAAGGATCATTGGATGAGAGTAGCCAGGTTCACAGTTTTGAGACAGGGGAAAGGATAATGTTGGTACAAGTCATTCATTATAACAAGAACAATGGGTCGAGATTTCTCAAATGAAATTTGTCTCACCAACAATGAATAATAACAAGGCATGTAAGATTTACCTGAGCAGCATCAGCATACCCTCTGATCCTTGCAATAACTTGAAGGCCAAGGTTCTTGGCTTTCTCCCCACTGACTAGCACAATTGCAGCAGCACCGTCGCTGAACATTGGAAGATAAGAATGACACTACAGTTACACTTCCAAGTAAACATTGCTTTACATAACTTATATTAACCATGGAGAAAGCCTACGAAATAATATAGCTTCAGTACACTCTTAAGATGATACATTTACTACTGAAGATATACAACACAGTTTGGCTGCATACTGCATACTGCATACAGAAGGTAGCCTGGCCGTGTAAAAATAAAGCTACAATGCTACACTAAGAAGTATTATAATTCTGAATGATACTTCGATCACGGAGCTCAATATCTACTACTCCCTCTGTTCACTTTTATAAGACCTTGAAGACATTTCAGACAATGTGCAAACCAGCCCATTTTGAGTTGTCTAAAACGACTTACAAAAGTGAACGGAGGGAGTAGCTTTCAAATGCTTCATTCAAGATTGTGATAGCGTACTGGACTGTGGCTGCACGTTAGCTACTCCGCAAGATTTTCCATCTAAGAAACTATCCACAGAGATAGTAAACGACTAGTCAGAGTACGAAAACAGCGAACCTTATACTAGAAGAATTGCCGGCAGTCACAGAGCCATTCTTCTTAAAAGCCGGTCCAAGTTTCTTCAGCTTCACTGGATCGTACTGTGCACATGGATCACCAGACGAAACATGTCAAAACCAGAAGGAGAAGAATAAAATGGGTGTGCTGATGGTTACTATTGCCACAGCTTAATTTCTGTATTCTATTGAATCCGCAATAGTAAAATTGAACCATGTCGGTTTCAATAAAAATCAAAACATGCCTAAATGACATCAAAGGAATCCCTCTGTAAGACAGATTCCATAAATTTGCGAGATTGCAGGACTACCTACCTTTGCAAGACTCTCATCCTTGTCAACAACAACTGGTGGTCTGCCTCTACCGGAAGGAATTTCAACCTGGTCAACAACAGATGTTTGAAATTGGTACCTAAGCGTCAATATTTCATACAGAAGAAGAGTTTTGGTTGGGCCCTCAAATAACGCGCATACCGGAACAATTTCCCAATCAAACGCGCCGCTGTCTCGAGCCGCTAGTCCAAGCTCATTGCTCTGTACGGCATAAGCATCCTACATGAAAGAGCAAGTTCGTTCAGATAACTAGATGTGCAGTTCTAGCTGTATAAAAAGTCTGAAACTCATAAGGATCGGTCAGAAATGCTGGCAACCTGCTCCTCCCTTGTAATCGAGTGCTGATCTGCACAGAGCTCAGCGCACATCCCCATATGGAAATCATTGTACACATCCCACAACCCGTCTTTCAGCATCCCGTCGATCAGGACATCATGCCCAAACCGCGATCCTCGTCTGCGTTTCATCTCCACAGGAGGTCACTATAAGCAATTAAGCTACACAAGAGAGGACCCTGGCTCCACCAAAAGCTATAACAATAAAGAGAAAAACATGCGAACCTTGCTGTGGCAGCGTATTTGGGGGCATTGGACATGCTCTCCATGCCGCCGGCGACCACGACGTCGTTGATCCCCAGCTGAATCGACTGCGCAGCAAGCATGACAGCTGCGAGGAGCAGGCCAACAACATAAGTTTATGAGCAGCAGTGACAACTGACAAGCAACTTTGCAGGTGAGGAGATGAAAATTTTGGATACCCTTCATCCCCGAGGAGCAGACTTTGTTGACGGTGGTGCAGGGGACGGTGTTGGGCAGGCCGGCGCCGAGGGCGGCCTGCCTGGCGGGGGCCTGGCCGAGGTTGGCGCTGAGGACGTTGCCCATGAACACCTCC